GTCAAATTCAATTATATGTCCAAAGTTTTGTACATACAATATGTATGCTCTAGCTTGAGTGGGAGCAATAGCATGTTAGCATAGTTCTAGTTGTTAGAATAGGTTAACTTGCTTTCTCATATAAGCTGTTTCACTTGTACCTATATGTCACCTTTGAATAATACATGGATCAGCTAAGAGAGGTATCAATCACTTAAGCCCTTTTCTCATATTTTTACTCTTAAATCTATATTTGTAATTTTTTAAAGTAATTTTGGACAATATTTGAGTCAAGGGGATAACATTGTTAGTCTGTTTTAAAATTTGAACTAAAATGAAAATCTTCTCGCAATTAGGATAATAGGTAAAGCAACATAAATGCAATTAGGGCCTTAAGCTTCAATAAAAGACAATGCTTTGAGAACATTTTGAAATTCTAGTAGATGCCATGCTTAAAGCTCTTTTCATCTTCCGTTCTTGTTAGCAATTTATAGATATATGACCAAACACACTCACACGTAATTAATTAGCTAAGAACCTTGCTTTCTAGATTTGTTTCTATTTTAAATTAGGACTTAGGACATTTTTCAATGTGTTTTAATTTTTATAATATCATTACAGATCCTAATTCTAATAGCAATTTATCAATGCAGTCAGCGGGTTAAAAGACTCAAAACTTAGTTTCTTAAGTTGGGTGGATGGATTAAGAAGAATCTTGTTGAATGACTTGTCTGTGGAGTGAAATGAGGAGTCAGAAAATAAGAGGACAGTCCATTTTTTCTGATGCTGCCACAAAAAACAATGAAAAAGGAAAAAAGCAAACTTAGGCTTCAACCTATAATCGGTGCCTGTCATGACAGTTTACGAACAGGTTGGAACGCAGTGAATATTTGAATTATATATACATCATAATAACCACAACTTATGTTGGCCATTTTTATGCTAAGGATTAGGGTGTCTAGATGGGTTTTGGAACCAGTATAATTTTTTATGAGTAACCATTTCTGGGCATTTGTCGGAAATAGGGGATATAGAAGAGACCTAATTATTTGTATTTCTTTCCTTTCTAGTCTAGGGCAAGATACTGAGAATTAAAAGGGGGGACATTGTTATGACACGACTTTCCCCATTTTTTATTGTAGTGAGTAAAGTGGGGACATACCTGTAACAGGAATGATTTGAATGAGAAACTAGAATGACATATTAATTAGTCAAAAATACTTTTTGGAAGTATCCAGGGACCGTTTTATATACATTATTATGGTAGTTTAGTGTAGAATGTAAAGGGAAGTCTTTGGAGAATAGACCTCTACGTAAGATTCATGCCATAGCTCCTTGGCTAGTAACGATGATTGATTACGGTTTTGTACCTTCTGGTTTACGTCCTCTGTCCCCAAGGATCGCATAAGTTATTTTTTATGATTTAATGATCCAATGTTAAAAAAGTGATAATATATTGAACTTAGATATAAAGTTTAAAACCTATGACACGGACATGTATAATTTTTATTGGGTGATGTTAATTTGTACATTTTGGTTTGCCTCCTATGTTTCCCCAGGGGTCACGTAAGTTCAAAATTCAAACCAGCTTTAATTCATATTTAAATTTATTTTTTATTACTTATGATAAGGATCTGATGTTAGAAGTTGATATATTATATTGAGCATAGGTATAAAATTTACATCCTAGGACATAATTTTTTTATTGGAAGATGTGAATAGAACTCACACGGGTATTCTGATTCATATGATTAGGTATTATCCCGCACATGAAAAACATTTTTTTTTCCTAATTGTTTTGAAGTATTTAATATGATGGGTGAGCAATAAAGTTGAGGTTCTTAGTGATGTAAAATGAATATGCTAATTCTGCTACATTTTTTGTAGGGTGCTTTTGGAAAAAATGCGCTAGTTGGCTTTGGTTTAACTACTTATACATTGCTTGGATTAGGAGTGGTATGTCCGATCTTTTGTTTAGATTAAACAAATCATACATACGGTTGTTTAGTAACATTGTTAAAAGCTCAACAATTATATGATTTGGCATATATGCACTGAAAAAAGTTGTAGTCCCTAGTTCCTCATTGTTGTCATTTTTCTTGATTTTTTTTATAGTAATTTTATTGTTTTCCACTTTTATTAGAAGTTAAGTTTTAATTTTTTTTCTTATTTCTCCTTTCAACAGCTTGGTGGACCCCTTTCACTTCCTTGGGGGCTTTATGTTTTGTTATGTCAGGTATGCAAATACTTGTCTTGAATTTGAAAGGAAATGATGAAACTGTAGTTAACTGTTTTTGGCAAATATTTGAACTTTTATTTATTTATATTTTTTCAGAGGACACCGGAGAAACCGTGCTTAAATGATGTGACAGAGGTTGGAACATGGAGAAAGGCACTTGTAGCAGTTGCTATTTTTCTTGTTGTCTTGACTCTTGTTCCTGTTGGGGATGAGCTTGCAGAGGAACTTGGTATAGGTCTTGTAACTGCATTTTGATGGTTATGTGTACACAAAGGCCATTTATAATCATAATCGAGTAGTGAAATACATAGGTTATATTGTTACCAAAGCCAAGCCCATTCATGCGACCACGCCTAATAAAACCTTCAATTTATTGGGGCAAAAATATCGACCAAAATGAGAAAACAACATTGATAGAAAAATGTAAAAATCTATTTTGTTTTACCCTTTGAAAATAAGATTGAGAACTATCATGTCCATTAGAGAAATTGTATTTTGTATAAGGTCGTTTCATGGTAGCCTTGGCTTAATGTTGCAAGAAAGGCAAAGGAAATGTTTCATATTTTCTTGTAATCTGAGTTTCCATATCTAAGACCAGTTTCCAAAGCTTAACATAGTCAACCATCTCCCTCAAGCACCCATCCTCAAAAGCATTTAAAACTAGAGTAATTGACATGACCATATGTTGGTTTAGTATTGTCAGTGACAGATATAAAATAATTAATTATATGGGAGATCTTGTCTTTCATTAAAGTTTTTGTCAATTGTATTGTTAAATAAATTAACATAATGTACGCCATTTCAATTTATATACATAATAAAAGAGAAACAATTCACAAAAAAACCTGTACAAATTCCAAAATTTAGAGATAAATTATGTATAACATTTTTGTAAAGCCAGTTAAACAAAAACCCACTTCCAAATCTTTTTCCTTCCAAATCCTACATTAGTCTTTGGTCTTGTATAAAAGAATAGCGGTTATCCCAATAAAAATGACAAAAAATTCACACTTATAATAAACAACTTTTATGTATACATCTAACCAATTTGCATTTAACAATTCAACTGTCAGTACGTAAAATATAACTACAACAATGGATAATAAACATTAATAAATGATATATATATATATATATATATATATATATATATATATATATATATATATATAATCGATTAGTTTAATTCGATTTTTTTTTCAACATAAAAAATATATTAAATTAAAATTATAATATATATTAATAAAATTAAAATATAAAATAATATTAACCAAATAATTTTATAATTTTAAGTATATATTTTTATTATTATTTAAATTAAATATATAAAAACAAATTGAAATTATAATTATAACAATTTAAATGATGATTTTATAATATATTTCTTTATTAAATAATTATTTATTATAATATATTTAATAATTTTATAATTAAAAATTTACAAAACCTTGAAAATAAATCAGAAAATATTGATTTTATTGAATCCAACTATTTGAAAAAATAAAAATAAAACCAAACAAACACCCTCCTAGTATTATCCCATTTTATATTAACTTTACTTTAAAGTTATGGTGTATATATTAAGAAGGATAATAATATATCATGTTTTTTAAATAATTTTATCAAAATAATTTTATTTTGTATAAAGACATTACGCTTATTAAACTTATTTAATTTCAAAATATATTAAGAAAAAAATAATAATTAATGCTTCATTCCAATTTAATTTTGAGAACATTAATTATTTGGAAATTGTTTTAAATGATTAGAAATGTAATTATTTGGGATAAGAGTAGTATACAATTAGACAGACAGGAGTTAATATATTTTAAAATGTTATTATTAATTTTATTTTTGTTTAGAATATTTTCAATTTCAATTAAAATATTTTAACATGGGACAGGATTCAGTATTCAGTAGCCGGGGCAGAGTGTTTCTTCGCTGTCACCAATGACCAACTTAGCGCGGTGACCTCGTCCTTGTCGAATCTTTTTTCGCTCTTCGTTCCTCGCCCACCCGCTTAATAAGGGGTGCAACGCCTCACTCCTGTGCAGGCCCGAAAGGTAAACATGCTTTTGTTGTTTTGACTTTCCACAGTGTTGCTGCTGATTTTGGATTGTGCATCTGTTATTTGAAACTTTGCTTCTGATTTTAGATTCTTTTTTATGTTGTTTGGGTTTGTCCTTCTTGTGTTGGTTTTGTGACAAATGTTGCTATTGATTTTGGGACTAAGCTTCTGATTTTGGTATTCCACAATAGAAAATTTGTCCTTCTGTTATCTGGGTTTTCACGTCTTGGGTATTCCTTTATATATATATATATATATATATATATATATATATATATATATATATATATATATATATATATATATATTACAGAAGCACTTATTTGTATAAGCACCACTTAAGAATCTCCGTTGTAGTTGTTCTGAAAAGAATTATTGTTTTGGGGTCTGGTTGTTGCGAACACTAGTGTACTTGTGCTTTCACGTGATCATTTTTGTTTTTTGTTGACTGACTTATTGTCAATAGTTACTCATTGATGTGAATTCCTTTGTTGATGCATTGGAAGTTTAGACAATTTTCTTGATACAGAGCGCTGTCTTGAAGAGTATAATTGTGTTGTTTCATTCGGCCCCTTCAATCAGCTCACGTATCGCGTACCTTAACTTGTTCATCCTCTGCATCAAATACTGTAATAGACTTCTCTTTAAATTAATTTTTCCATGGAAGCTCAACATAGATTTTGTCCAAAACCATCATTAGCACCATCAATTCCAATGGTGAAGCAACCATTCTCTTTAAAGTTCCCTCCTCTACTCTCTTTATCGTCATACCCTTCTGTTCAGTCACAGAATCTTGACGTCCGTAGTGGATCTCTTCATGCTATCAGCGATGTGCACAAAATAGTTTGTTCTAGTTCTTGGAGATTATTGTGTAGCAAGAGTAGTAATATTACAGAACCAAAGGAGGGCCATGAGGTGAGGGCTCAGGTCACAGTGAGAAGGAAAAAGCTAGCAGTTTTCGTGTCTGGTGGAGGATCCAACTTCAGATCAATTCATGATGCCTCCAAAAGGGGATCACTTCATGGAGATGTTACTGTATTGGTCACAAATAAAAGTGGTAATGCTCTATCTTACTATCCCTTTACTTTCAGTTTTTCCCTTTTGTGTCATCATTTAGCTTAGCTAAATTCTTACTTTTCCTAGAAGCATATCTCCTCCAATTTTAGCTGATAAATGGATAACTGGATTAGGATTACATGCCTGTTAATATCATATTTATTATTCCTGTGGCTAGAATAAGCAAACTTCCTTGTGTTGCGTGGGATGTTTGTTGGGACTGTTTTTTTATTTCCCTTTTATTTTGAGCCTTGGTATACTAAAATTTGTTCTTTGTTTCTTGTAATACCAGAGTGTGGAGGTGCAGAGTATGCAAGAAATAATGGTATCCCCGTTATATTGTTCCCTAAAGCTAAAGATGAACCCAAAGGATTATCTCCAAGTGACCTTGTCGATACACTAAGGTCTGACGCTTCTTTAATTGATTTCCTGCAATTTTAATTAACTTTAGACTTTGGGGTTTTTATTTTTTTATTGATTCTGATGAGTGGATTATTTTCTTAAAATCGAAACACAAATAAAAGAAACAGTGTAACTCAAATATGGCAAAATCTGTGAAACGGGACAAAGGAAGTCTTTCAATCTGCTGCACGGATTGGTTACATTATTAATATATAATACATTTTTAATCAGGAAATTCGAGGTAGATTTTGTTCTTTTAGCTGGATACCTCAAACTGATACCAGTGGAATTGATCCGAGCTTATGAAAGATCTATTTTCAACATTCATCCATCACTTCTTCCAGCTTTTGGAGGCAAGGGCTACTATGGCATGAAGGTGCATAAAGCAGTAATTGCTTCTGGAGCAAGGTATAATTCTCATGAAATATCTCTAGCACTTCTGTAAAACACTATTGCACTTGGTTCTTGATTACTTATCTGTGCTTCATTTTTCTTTGTTGGTCAGGTTTTCAGGTCCTACCATTCATTTTGTTGACGAACACTATGACACAGGGCGTATCCTTGCACAGCGAGTGGTCCCTGTGCTTGCCCATGATACTGCAGAGGAGTTGGCTGCAAGGGTTCTCAATGAGGTAATGGAAGACTATATCATTATTCAGCTCCCAGAAAGTGTTTCATTTTAAACTATTGAACAGTCTTAATCCTGAATGGAATTCAGCAAATATTTTTGTGATAAGCATTCTTGAACCTTGACATTTGTGCAATCGATAGACTGACAGCTTAGCAGACTGTCAATGATAAGATGGGCCTAAAGAGGCTCAAAAGAAGGAAAATTATACGGATAGTCTTAGTATGTTAAAATAATATTTATAATATTATTTACTTTATATTTTAATTCCCTAAAATGAGATGATGACACTTTAAGGTCCTCATTTAGTTGTTGGTGTCTCTTAGGTTCTATAAGCGTATTCCTTCTGACATGTGAAAGAAATGAAAAATATCAATGTTTATATATATATATATATATATCTTCTTTATAGCGTCAATGTTAGATTTGGATATTTTAGAGTAGTGTAGATTATTTGCTTCCTATCAGTCATGATGGAGTTAATTGATTACTGTTTATTTATCCAATTCAGGAGCACCAATTATATGTTGAGGTGGTGGAGGCTTTATGTGAAGATCGTGTCGTTTGGAGGGAAGATGGTGTTCCTCTCATTCAAAGCAGAGAAAATCCCAATGACTTTCGCTGATTATCATTGATATGGTATGGTATTTTCTTTCACATTTCTTAGAATGCTGTAAAATGTATTTGTATACTTCACCTTTTTAATATGATTTGGTCTTGCATCCGATGAGACTTTAATTTATGTTGTAGGGGATTTTGGTTGGAGATTTTGGTTGTGAAAATTTCACATTTACCCCAAAGATGTTGTACTTAATGAATTGTAATTAAAAGGTAGGTATATTTTCCGGTGCACTCATGTCACTTCTGGAAGGATGTAATAAGCAAGAAGTCACAAACTTTTCTCCTGATGTGGTCTGCATAAACTGTTATATGCTCTCGGTGGATTTTAATAGTAAATTTTTGGAGTTCTTCATTCCCCACAAAGTTTCCATTAACATATCATGATTTTTGCTACTTAATTAAGAAATTATCTCATATACTATTTGGATGAGAAATTTGATGTGCCGTAAGACATTTTTGTAATTTATAATTATTGAGTTTGTAATGGAACTGCTATGCTTCTGTCCTTTGCTACCCAATTATTTACAAGTATTTTCCTGCTACGTTAATTGTTGAGCATACTTGATTTGAAGACTGTTGAAGGTTTATCCCAAATTAAACTTTGATTCATATTAATGTGGAAGGTTGCCATATTTCATTTTTTAAATAAAAGTGCTAATATAACTGACACTATTACAAACAGGTCCCCAAGAGACAAGGTAAACATTAACAAATCTAAATTGTAAGTGAGTACAGGAAGACACTTTGGAAATGTATAAAGAATAGTAAAAGCCCATGAACTGTGAAGAGTTGGTTAGATGGAGGATAACCAAAGGGGATTTAGATCTAAACGACTCTTATTTTTTGTCCATCGTGGTGTTGAATACCCTTATTGGCAAACAAAAGCATTTATATTGTTGATTGTATGGTCTATTGAGAAAACTAAATTACTGAACATTTTTGGACTGAAGTTTATTTTATTCAGCACATGACAGATATAATATAATTTAAATCCTTTTTGTATTATTTTATCAAAAATTATTAATTTATTCTTGCCATCACAACACAATCCTTTCTTTTATTTTGCATTGTTTACAGTTTGACTATGATCTTAACTTTATGTAGAAGTCAAGGTTTCTTCAACCTATTCAATATAGGCGAGTTAATAAACAGGAGTTATTAGGTCTATTTGAACTAGTTTGTTAAAATTAATTGTTCTATTTGTTAAAATTAGTTTTATTTTATAAGTAAATTAATTGAAGTTTTTTCATATAATTTTTTTATCTAAATTTTATTTTTAATTTTTATATAAACTAATTGTAACTCGTACAGAAGTTCATTTTTTTTTCTTTTTTGAAAGTTGTAAATGGAGGGAGATTGTTTCAACGCGCCGTACATACTCAATGTGATGTTAAGAAAAATAATTTTGTATTTTAACTCTAGCTTTTCAACTCCTTTTCTGATTCAGTTAAAACTACCAAGTTTTTAAGGACCAAATTTTTAGTTCCTCTCAAAATATTAAGAGAATTTTTACAATCGATTGCATTGTGACTCACTCAATCACACAAAAAATTTGTACTGGGAAAATTGAAAAAATTGGTATGTGTTTCACCTTTAAAATACAATATGATTTATTTTTTAAAATAAAAAAATATATTTTATAGGATGAGGAATTTAGCAACGTGCAAATGTTATTTACATATTTTTGTTTTTAGAGGGTTATTTCAGATTTATAATTTTTTTGTTTTAAAAATTATTTTTAACAATTTATTATTTCCCTTTCAATTCTTTGTTAACTTTTCTTTATCATCAAATTTTCAATTTTTAATGGTGTTTAAATTTTTAATTGTTATTGTTAATTGTTAAATTGTTTTAAATTTCATATTATTTTTTTAATTTTTATGTTTATAGTATTTTAATTTAACTATTAGAAAACATATGTATGAATGATTAACTCAATTATTAGTTTTAGAGTCAATTTGATTCATTTTTTATTTTTAAAATGAGTTAATCTTTTTCATTTTATTAATAAATTATTAAATTAAAAATACAACTGTGATCTTGATGTGATGTTAATATGATGTTGAAGTGATTTTGATATAACATTGATATATAAGAAATGATATGTTATTGATAACATTTCAATTATATTGGAAAGAAGGTAAGCATTACATTAACAAATATTAGAACACCAAACAATATTGATGAAAGAGACCATACTAATGTGAAACAAAAATAGTAGGATAAAATTGAAAAGGAATAAAAAAAATAATGGAATGAAAAATTATATTTAGTCAAAACTAAGCAATTTACATCCATTTATTTTTAAGGTTTAACATTTGAAACTAGGAAGTAGGGGAATGAGTGTAATTTGATAAGAAGACTTAAAAAGCTTAAGAAATAAATTAAGTTATATAAAATAATTTGTGTCATAAATTAAATATGATTTATTTTACTTTTATCCGTTTAAGTCATGGATTAAATAAATTCATATTAAGGTAACCAAAGATGTATGGAACAACACATTTTCCAAAATAATGATAATTTTAAATAAAATTTTATTATTATTATTTATTAAAAATTATATGTGTATCATAAATAAATTTATAATGGATCCACTTATTATAAAAGTTTATAATCTTCACTTTTCTAGATCTAATAATTAAGATATAAGATTAAAAAATAATGAATGATAATAAGAAAGAGTAAGTCTATAATTTTTTAACTCCTATTTTGGGATGAATGATTTATTTATCAATTTATTATATTCAAAATAAAAATTAATTTTATTAATATATTTTAAATTTTTAAAAAATATTTTTATATTATTTTATTTAAATATTTTTAATTAATTATTTTAGACAAAAATATATGATTTATGTTTAGATATAGATTAAACTGTATCATCAATTTTTCACTTAATCTATAAAACCAGACCATACTAAGTTGGTCGGTCCGTTTTGATAATCTTACTAGTAGGCTTCACTTGATATTAAGATCCTTCCCAAATATAATGTCCAAAATTAATGACACATATATTATTCCTTAATGATTACTTGTTCGAACTTAATAAAGAAATAATGATATATACAAGAAAAATATTTTATTTACCTATTTGAATGATTTCAATTCAACATATCATTCATTAATCTCCTCTGTATGTCAAGGTTAAAAAATATAATATATAATTTCAAATTATTTTAAATGTAATCAACACCATCTTTACATAGTGCATTTTGTTCACCAACACAATGACGCGGTTCAATAACATTATGACTTTCATAAATTATTTCACACATAAAGTTATTCCAAAGAAAAAAAAAACAATTTTTAATCTATGCATACAAAATACAAAGTGATGTGAAGGGAAATAAATATAAAGGTAAAAATCAATACTTTAAATAAAAAGAATTATATTCAATCAAAAGTTGTACAATATATGATTGTTCTAGAATCCAACATTAAGTTATATCTACAAAATTGTTATATAACCTAACAAAATCCACTATACTACTACATTATTTATATCATTATATTGTCAATCTCATCAAGATAAAGAATTATCGGGTTTATGAGATCTTCATCTCCTCCTCATCTAAAATGTCCTCGATTAGGACCAATTTACCTTTAAACAAATCCTTAATGACATAAAACTTCCTCTCCTCTAAAGCAATATAATAGATGTTAGCTTATTAGATGTCTTCTCAAAACCCTTGTAATGAACCACTTCATCCTAATAAACTCCTTCCTAACTTTCTCCTTTAAGTTTAGCTCCTATCAGGAGATATATTCACATCAGTTATATGTTGTTTATGAATTTTTTGTGTAAGCTTAATCATTTCCTCTTCCTTTCCTCTTAAGACCATCAACACCTATCCCTCCAAGATGACCCATCAATAGTCAATTGGGTGCATTTGCCCTTCAACTCTCTTACTTTGTTTCCTAGTAAAGAGTTTTCCTCTAGCATGTTCTTCACTATCATAAAAAAGATTGACATTATTTTTGGCTCAATCAACACATTTAGAAAACACACCTTAAGGCTTTGTTTGGTTGGAGTGATTTGAGAGAGTGGAATTGAGAGAGTGGAAAAGGAGGGATTTGAAGAGAAATGGAGATGATTGAAAAATGAAAGGAAAGTTTATGGGAAATTGTGAATGATTTGATTGATATGAGATATAAAAATTATAATTTTATGTTGATTATTTAAGAAAATTACCATTTTACCCTTTGTATAAAATAAGGTTCAAATGATTATAAATATAAATTTTTAATTAATTATCCATATTTTAACATTGATTATATATTTAAAAGAAAAAACAAAATTAAAAGTGTTTGTAATTGGAAACAAATTTAAAAAATTAACTTTTTTTAGATAGTTATTAAAAATTATATAAATAAACAATTACAAAATTATGTACATTGCATATCCATATTCAAATAATGTTGACATATTAAATAAATTATTTGACTAATAATTAAATAATTATAAAATATAAAATAATAATTAATATTGACTGATAATAACAAATAATTATGAAAACTAATAATATAATTGTACATTATTATTTAAAACAAATATAAAATATAGTGAAAATAGAATAATAATTAAATGAAACATTACTAAAATTATAAACCTATGCACACTAATGCTCTTCAAACAAATAATTATAATGTTATTCATCTTTTGCGATCAAGTCCTCCAGTTCAGATCATTCAATCACTTCCACTCAAGAACATGAACAAGCTGGGAGAGACGAAGATGTCCCATATATCTGACTCAGAATGTTGAAATGTTGATGATCGTCTCATCACATTAACTTGAGATAAAATAATTACAATATAATTTTCTACTTTAAGAATTAATAATATAATTAAACTCAAAATTGAGAATACTCTTATACATTTTGAACTCTTTTGGATAAATTTTGTTTCCCTAATTTTTGATAAAGTTAATTTTAATATTTAAAATTATTTAACATTTTGAATTCTGAAAGGTTTTCTCTAATAGCAAATTAAAAAACATAA